CTAGCCTCCCGTAATCGAAGCTGAGGAGCTGGTCGCTCCTGGGGGCGCGGGCCTCTGGTGCATGCAGCTGCAGCTCCTCAAGCGCCTCGGCGATCGCATCGAGGCCGGTGGAGTGGAGTGGTTGGACAGCGGTGGGAACCTACGCCAACTCTCCCTCCGTCGTAATGATGAAGTCCAGGTTCCCGAAGCACACGTGCGCACCCGGGACCTAGCTGACGCTGTGACTAGCCATCCGAGGCCTGATGTGGACGTCGAGGCGCACAAAAAGCCTCTACCTAGCGCGCCAACTGTCGGTGTTTTTGGACCACCGATGAGTAAATTTGTATTTACGCGTCTGGCTCAAATGGTGTGCTCGAAGGACACAAAGGTTTATACTGGTTCGAGCGAAACGTCCCTACTTTCAGTTCGCTGCTGCTCGTGTTACCGGCACTTGGTTTGCAGTAGGGGTTACAAACAGGCGAGAGAGGGAAATGATCCCAAGTCTCTGGTGGAAGGCATGAACGGGTGCTGAGAGCTCGATTGCCACTCAGCCATGTGCTCAGGTCGTGCTCTTGTGTTCAGATCTCGTGTTTTTTCGCCCCCCCCCCTCCATGAGGCACCCTGCTTCCCCTTTTATAGACGAAGGGAAAGCGCGGGTTACAGAGAAGGAAAAGTAGAAGAACGAGAGAGAGAAGAAGGCCTTTAGGGTTGCCGGGTCCTTCTTCTCCTTCACGCAGGTCCCGCTGATCCTGTAGATGTCAACAGGGATGGCTCCATGTCGCGGCCCTTTTCGTCACTGGCGCCATGCACGGCGTCATCTGCCGGTCATGGCGTTCCACTCCATCCTGGTGGACGTCATGGTGAACTGATGCGCCTGTCAGCGTCCGTACGAGGATTAGGCAGAACAGCACCGGCACGTCCGACACTATTCTTGATGTGAATCCCCAGGTATGGCCCATCATGGCAACGGGTTACATCGAGGCGTGCCAGTCTCTTTCCTAGTGTCAGAGTTTTGACTCAGACCCATACACTTGGACCTAGAGTGGTTGGCGGCGGTATGGGTCCCCGTCGGACGAGACAAAAACCGCGTCCTTGGGGTCGGGCGAGACGGAGCCCGTACCCAAGGGGTCGGGCGTGACGGAGCCCGTGGCCTCGGGTGAGATGGAGCCCGCACCCAAGGGGTCGGGCGAGATGGAGCCCGCGGCCTCGAGGTCGGGCAAGACGGAGCCTGTGGCCTTGAGATCGGGCGAGACGGAACTCGCAGCCTTAGGCGAGACAGAACCCGCGTCCTTGGGATCGGGCGAGACGGAGCCCACACCCAAGGGGTCGGGCGAGACGGAGCCTGTGGCCTCGAGGTTGGGCAAGATGGAGCCCGCGGCCTTGGGGTCGGACGAGACGGAGCCTGCGACCTTAGGGTCGGGCGAGACCTTTTAATACGTCTTGATCCATCCGAAGAAGTCAGCGTGGGCGCTAACTTCCTTGCTTTGGGTATCACTAATATCGATACCTGACAATGCCCATACCTTATGGTTAGTTTCAAGTTGTGTTGCTTCGGCATGCCGACCATTGAACAACGCAGCACACTTGTAGAAAGTGAACGCTACAATTGTTGTCACAGGCAATCCACATACGCCCTTTAGCAAACCATTCAAAAATTCAACCATGTTGCTAGTCTGAAACTCATATCTCCTACCATCCTTGTCATGAGCCCTTGTCCATTTCTCCACATCTGGCATCAAGCATCTTAGCCAATCTCTACCTTCTGCGTTTACTTTACACTCTTCAACTCGTCAAGCTTCTCCTCAAAGTATTTAACCTCAAGGTGCCGACAAACCTCCTCGAAAAGAGGAAAGTTATCCTTGGAACCATCGTTCTTGAATAAATTCTCGGCAAGGTGCCGAGTGCACCAACGATGGTGCACAGGTGCATGCCCTGGTATATGCATCTAAACGGCGCCAAGGATACCAGCATGCCTGTCAGATATGACACAAACCTCCCTTCCAGAACCTATCACATGACTCCAACAAGCCTCAAGAACCATGCCCAGCTGTCTTTATTCTCCTTCTCAGCCAAAGCAAACGCTAACGGTACCAGGCAATCGTCGGCATCAACACCGATAGCAATCAGCATAGTACCTTGGTACTTGCCAAGAAGAAAAGTATTGTCAATTGAAAGAACGGGCCCGCAATGCTTGAAGGCCTCCACGCACTGACAAAAGCACCAGAAAGCTCGATGGAATATCTGCTTCCCATCCTTCCATCCATTTGGTTTAGGCACATACTCATAATGCATACCTGGATTCACCGCTTTGATTGCATTCAACAAGGCTGGCAAACGCTCATACGCCTCCTCCCAATCTCCATAAATCATCTTTAAGGCATGTTGCTTCGCCCTCCAAGCTTTGCCATACCGTATGTCAAACCCCCACAATATGTTGACTGTAGTAATGACAGCTTTCACACGCATAGTGGGAGCTTGCTTCACTAAGGGAAGGATACGGGTAGCAATGAACTCCGAGTTCAATTGACGATGCTTCTCATCGAGCTCTGCAGAGCTACATGTGTGTGGGCCAATTACTCTAGTAATTATGAACTTCTTTAAGTCCTTCACCTTTCTAGCACATACCCTCCAATCACAACCTTCCTTCTCACACTTGATGGTGTACCGCCTTTGTGCATAAGAGTTCTTAACCCTGTATGGTCTGTTGTGTACTATTGCATACTCTCTCAACCACATCTTCAACGTAGACATATTCTTGAACACAAGGCCCTTCTTAATTATCGTGCTAGCCCCTGGATTAGGTACATCTACTAACTCATCTTCCTTTCCATGCGCCCTAGCCTTATGAGCTTGACTGAGATCATTGTAATCAGACACAGGCGGGTCACGGTTAGGAAGCAACCTCCTAATCAACTCAATGTCACTAGCTGTCAAATCTTCAACCAGACGGTCATCGTCGGAATCAACGGCTCTGGCATCCTGGTAACTCTCACCATCATCCATGACCTGCACATCCATATTATTAGATGTTCTACACACTTCTTGAACATGGACTAAAGGTTCAACTTGAGCAATGCCATCGACCAGACCCTCATACAAATTGTTCGGGTCCTCCCCATCATCAAACCCACCAACAGACCTATCACCATCATCATCATCACTATGGTCACCATCTGACTGGAACAAAGGAAGCTCTAAAGGTACTGAACCAACAATGGGCACATCAGCAACCTCAGGCACCTCGACTCCCTGATTTGATGCTGAAGGTTCAACTTGAGTAGAGTCATTCATATGCAATGATATCCCATGCGAGGAGGGATCCCTCAACACCTTCTGCACATACAAATCAAGTGCTCGAACCTCTGTCTCCATAACAACTGACACATAGTTCTCCCATTCATCCTGACCACCAATTGAGACCAATCGTTTGATTCGTGGTCCCTTAGAACCAACATCAATAACCCCCTCTATTACTACATCAGCTTCATTTGCTGTCCACTTTAGCCTCTCTCTCAATAGAACAACCAGTTCACTAAATGATGGTCGAGACCTAAATAGCATAGACACATGTTGCATTCCATGAAATTCGACAGTACCACAATCATTTCTCTTCACACTGCCTCCATGATGCAAAGTTACTAGTTTGTCCATCTGTTTGAACAACAAAAAAAACGATTGTTGAATGTGTTGATTGCAAATTGCTGAACTATATAAAAATAGATCCTACTGCTACACTATTTTGATCTACTATATTGTTGAACTATAAAGTCAGAGTTAATAATACGATGTGTGCAGTGTTCAAAATACGATTCGTGCAGTGTTCAAAATGTATTAACAAATCAATCTCATACTCTTAATAAATAGTAAGATAAACCACACTAAAACCTCATGGAAAACCCCCAGACTACTCATCAAATCCGGACATGAATTGCAATACAATTCAGGGTAATGCACCTAGTCTATAAGTGAAACTAGGGTTTATAAAAATACACATCAAATAGACCAAATCAGTATACAGATCGGGAGAGGAGAGGATACCTTGTTCTAGCGAATCTCTATCTCTAATCGAAGTTTTACCACTCCATTTAAGAGATCAGAGGAGGGGGCGCGTGGGGGAGTGGGGAGGAGGAAGGGGGAGACAGAGTATGAGGAGCCGACGGATGAACAGGAGGTGGGGAGAGAGTACGAGGAGCCGACGGATGAACTGGAGGAAGAACTAAGAAACATGGTGCGCGTGAGCGGCTGGCCTCGGCCATTTTGGCCCAGACCTCGGCGCCACGCCATTTAGAGCCGAGGTCGGCGCCGTTGCCACGTCATGGACCGGCACGGCACGCCACGCCACCATGTTCGCCGCCGCCGCCGGTGGCGCCGCTTAACTGCGGCCTCCCCTCTTCGCGCGTTCCGCGGGAGGACGAGATCGACCGATGCTTCCTTGCTGTGGTATCTCTACTCCAGAGGCGGAGCTCCCCATACGGCAGTTGCCCCACCTACCTCCGGCATGGAGGAGCCCACCCTCCTCCTTTTCCTCACTCGCGGCATCTCCCAGGCAGAGCAGGCGGTCGAGCGGTGGCGGGCTACGCGGCGCGACTCTCTGCTGGCGCGAGAAGAAGGCCGAGCGGCGCCTAAGCGAGAAGAAGGCCGAGCGGTCGAGTACGGCCCAATAGGTCATCAAGCATCAGCCCAAATGTGGAGGTACCCCAAGTCCACTCCATTCCGTCTCTTTCCTTAGGCTCCTTCCGTACGCGTCAGAGCGCCGCACCGCCGCCCTAGCTGCCGTGTCGTCCCTGGCTGCCGCGGTGCCGCCCGCCCCTAGCTTCCACTGCCCCTATCTGCAGGCTATAGCCCGCCGCGCCACCCCTAGCTGCAGCATTGCATCCCGCCGCGCCGCCAGCCCCTAGAACAGAGAAGATGCAGCGCATGTTACGGAGGAGGGGGTGGGGGATGGTGTTGGTGAGCAGGCGCAACAGGTGAGTGCGTGGCGCTTGACGGTCGATGGAGACGGCCAAGTGGAGATACTTGCCATGGCGAGGCTCCCGGTGTTCGACCTGCTGGTGCTTGTGTTGGTCCGCGCACGTCTTCAAGAATCCAGGGCGCCGCCGCCGATCTCATTGTTCACCCCGTCAAGAGCCGGACATCTAATGAGAATATGTTCTGCCCCACCTAAATTTTTGGGCGAGCTCCGCCACTGTCTACTCCCTCCCGTCTCCTGATCAACCCCGCTCAACTGGCCGCCCCCTCTTCGCGCGTTCCATGGGGGATGAGATTGATGCTTCCGTCCTGTGGTATCTCTCCTCCCTCCCGTCTCCTGATCAGCCCCTGTCACTGTTGGTCGCCTGCGCGGCCAAGCCTCGTGCTCGGAAATTGCACAAATGAGGGCCAATACTAGCCGATGTTCTCATTCTCAGGCTAAGGCGATTGGAATGGTTCCTCTTCTCGCCCCGCACGCATATATACCCATACGGCCATACGAGGTATGTAGCTCATGATGGTCGCTTCGTCAACTTTCTTTGAGGTAAGAGTTCGTTCCACATCCTGTATTCGCATGTGTCCAGGCACCATGGTACTTCGACACTATCACCATGGTGGTATTTCGGCCTTGTGTCAACTCTGCCGGCCTCACTGTCGGCGGCAAGTGGCTCAGTGCTGACTGCTGCAACAGCAGAATTGGAGGGAGTTAGTTTCTTGATGAACAGCCAAAGGTGCAGGTAGGGTTCTTGAATTGAGATGCCGTCCATTTCTTTGCGACCAAATCCTTTGGACGACGCTAATAAGGCATCACAGCCTTGTCCCTAGTGCTGATTGATATATACCAAAAATCCGTTGGCATGTGCTCTAGGCAACACGGAAACTTACTCTGTTCTGCTTGCGTGGATTATGCACCATGCAATTATGCAACGATTGGTGAGCATGGGTTGCCATGTACTAATGGGAATGCAATAGTTGTCCATGCATTGATTCAAAGATCCTTGAAAAAAATAGTACCAGCCTGTTCGTTTGGCTGTGGCTTATCGTAAACGATCGTAAATTTCCAGCCGGAATAGTATTTTTCTCTCACACAAACCAGCCAGCAGTACTTCTTCACGAACCAGCAACGAAACGAACTAGCCAAACGAACAATGATTCAACGAACTATATTTGTTTTATCCCCAGGCCCGAGACTCAAAATGTTAAAATACTTCCCACTTGCCACTGAACAATGGGTATGTGTCTTTGTTATCACCAATTTTTCTTGCCCAGCGTCATGTGTGGATGTGATTGTGATCCCTATGTGCTAGAGTCAACGTATGAAGTAAGCATCTGTATAATACTTCCATCGTGATCCCATCTGTATTTTCTGTTGGTTCATCTAACCCCATCTTAGTCTTCCCCTGGGTGCAGCCTCTTCTTGTTATTACCTTTCCTAGTCTGCTCTTTATTTCCTTTGCCCCTGCAAACTTCCTGGTCGTCTGCCTATATATGCTTCTCTTGCTTTTCCAGGTGTGATTCACAGCTCGTCATCTTAGAGTGCCATCACCATAAGTACTCTTTGTGTTCCAAGTGATTCGGCATATCTTTGTGTGATCTTTTCCTCTCATGTTTGTTTTCGATCTATAGGGCCATCAAAGTGACTACAAAACATGGCATACGAGAAAGAAGACCCTGCACTTTCTGCAAACCAGGTTTTTGTTAGCTCTCCTCTGTGAAATGGTCCTTGTAACCTTGTCACTCAATATATTTTGGTTTCTGTAACAATGGTACACTAATCACAGGGAAAACATTGGGGCATTTTCATCTGCTGGCTTCTGGGGAATGGATGCCTCTTTGGGTTCAACAGCATGCTTACTATTGAAGATTACTACACATACCTCTTCCCGGTACGATATGCATACTGTGTTGTTGTTCTCTACTTAGTTCTCCAACTGTGTTGAAACTACTGATATAAAATGATGTACTGTTTTATGCTTTCTGAATTCAGAAGTATCACCCCACTAGAGTTGTCACACTTACATATCAACCATTCATCCTCGCCACAACTGCCATATTCACGCATCATGAGGCAAAGGTCAACACTAGGTTGCGCAATTTGGCGGGGTACACACTATTCTTCTTCAGCTCATTTGCAGCAATCATTGTAAGTATGACTAATTGCATTGAGACGTTCTTGTTTGAATAGTTAGTCCACTATCATATCTCACATTTTCACTGATCTTTTCTTAAACATTGCAGCTGGATATTGCAACTTCAGGAAGAGGTGGAATTGCCCCCTTTGTTGGCATATGTATCATTGCTGCTGCTTTTGGGGTTGCTGATGGTCATGTTCAAGGTGGGATGACGGGTGATCTCTCTCTGATGTGCCCAGAGTTCATCCAGGTATCACTTGAGAAGATTTTTTTTCTTGGAAAGATTCAAGAAACACATTTTGAAGTGTAGATTGACTTATATGTCGATCCATTTTATTATTTTCAGTCCTTCTTTGCTGGACTGGCTGCATCAGGAGCGATAACCTCTGCGCTGAGGCTTGTAACTAAAGCAGCTTTCGAGAGTTCCCGAGATGGACTTCGCAAAGGAGCTAGTATGTTGAAACAACTGTTGATAAAATTACATTTGCATCTGTTTACTTCATCTGATATATTTACTTGGGCTACAATTTATGCAGTGCTCTTCTCCTCAATATCATGCTTTTTTGAGCTGCTATGTGCCCTGCTATATGCCTTCGTCTTTCCCAAGCTGCCAATTGTTTAGTTCTATCGTTCAAAGGCAACTTCAGAGGGATCTTTGACAGTAGCTGCTGATCTTGCTGCTGGTGGCGTGGAAAATAGCCAAAATTCAATGGTATCTTTTTTTTTTTAACTTTTTTAAACTCGCAGCAAGTTTCTTATAATTGCATATGATCTGTCGCAGCTAATTTTTTCATGACTTTTTCAGTCTGAAGAAGACCCTTCATGTGTGGAGCGTTTGAGCACAAAGCAACTGCTACTACAGAACATAGACTATGCACTGGACATATTCCTGATCTATATATTGACTCTGTCCATCTTCCCGGGTTCTTTTTAGCTGAAGATACTGGATCACACAGCTTGGGATCTTGGTAACTATCTGAACTTCTGTAGTTTACTTTAGCAAACAAAAGGATCCACTGACGCCATGTCACATCATTATGCAGGTATGCACTCATCTTGATTGCAAGCTATAACGTGTGGGATCTGATTGGAAGGTACGTACCCCTGATTGAGCAAATCAAGCTGAGGTCTCGGAAGGGGCTTCTAATTGCTGTTGTTTCACGGTTACTACTCGTTCCTGCATTCTACTACACTGCAAAGTATGGCGATCAGGGCTGGATGATCATGCTAACGTTGTTCCTCGGTTTGAGCAATGGCTATCTCACCGTGTCCTCACTGAGGCACCCAAAGGGTACAAGGTTAGCGTATAAATGCTTTGAGCTCAGCATGAGAGAATCACTGTTGTCATTTTGCAACATCTGATTGAGTTGTGTACACGATGGTGCCTGCAGGGACCAGAACAAAACGCTTTGGGCAACTTGCTTGTGCTTTGCCTCCTGGGTGGCATCTTCAGCGGGGCCGTTCTCGACTGGGTGTGGCTCATAGGCAAAGGGTGGTGATCAGATGGTGTAGCACAAGCTCTTCCTGTCCTTGGAGTCTGATGTGTGGTTGCAATCAAGCGCCTAGCAGCATTTGGTTCATCTTGTGCCGAAGGTTTCAATTCCAATCGCACTGACTGCATTTCTCAGGACTTCAGGTTTAGCTTACAGCTCTTTTTGGGCCAAGAAGGGGTGGGAACAAGAACTAATGGAAAGGGAAAAGGCACGCTGGGTCTGGACTGAATTGTACAATTTTGTGAATATATAATACTGTGTACCAATTTGTATATTTTTTTTCCTCCAGTTCTGTAGAGCAAAAGTTGCAAATGTTCCACAAATGCAAAGAGAGGCTTGAAACTGAATACACAGGCTATCTTTTGATTGGAAAGATATTCTACCTGATTGAAGAGCGTTTCTGCTCAAATTATATGGCAAAAAAAACCCACCCATAATTGAAGGTATCTGATACAGTCATGCACAGCTACATGTCAGCATCGTTGATGACACATCTCTGGATTAGCTGCTAGTGCGTGCAAATGCCAATTCTTTGATCGGCAGGGAAACGTGGTTTAGGCCCACACAATCACGGGTGTGTAACAAAAAATAAGATTCTTGCTGAGATAAGGAACATCACATTCACAGGTTCACAGCGTTTGACTACGGAAAGCGTGCAGGAAAAGCTGCGACTTGGAAGCAAACGGATGACATAAATAAACGAGCAAAACTAGTCCAAAGTGGCCGGCAAAGAAGAGAGGACAGGATGAGAACCCTAGGTCCTGTTTGGATTAAGGAGCTAATAGATAGCTATTAATAATTAGCTCCTAGATCCAAACAAGTCTATCTAATAATTTAGCTAATTGCTAGTTGAATACCCAACTAGCAACTATTTCATTAGTTAGACCAAACTAGCTAATAGCAACTAATATTAGCCATTAATTATTAGCTAGCTAATTATTAGTAGCTAATGGATCAAACAGGCTTCTTAGTCATGTGAACTAAGTGCACGAATAAGCTACTAGTACAAACAAAACCAACTACTTTTTTTTAGAAAGGAAGAAAGAAAGAAATGCTAGCACGCTTTCAAAAGAAAAAAATGTACTAGCAAGTTGAGGGAGTGGATCCCAGTTTTCCAATGATGAGTGAGACAGCGGGTGGCTGAGGTTGAGATTAGCGGATTCCCATCCCATGACGGCCTGGTCGGTTTCCCATGACGGCAATGATGTTTTTCTCTCACAAAAAATCAAGACCGACCTAAACCAAAGACCAAAGACCAAAACAGAAATGAAGGTCAAATCGAGCTGGGAGCCTTTTCACTTCGGGCGATTATTCTCCCTGTGCAGCGACCAGCGATGGCACGAGGTGTTTGAGCTTGCGCTCGGAAGAATGGTGCTTCAGAGAAAACAGAGTGCCTTTTATTGAGCTGCACGCTGTAGCATATGGCACCATCCCTTTGCAGAATGGAGGCAAATGATAGAGCTAGCAGTGGCAGACGAGATCCACCGTGGCTTTTCAGCCGACAGCCACGGAGATGAGATCGAATTTTGGCCATCTCTTGACCAGCCATCATCATCCGTTTAAAATTCGATGGAATCTAACACCATGTTTAGCACGACGATATAGCCTTCTAAATTTGTATATAAATATATAAGCTGACACGGCACCATATCAGATGTCACCCTCACGCGCCGAGGCGTCAATTTTTTTTTTCCCCGTCACGAGCTTTGACGCCGAGCGTGGAGACGGTGTGAACGCCGTCCCATTTCCAACCCCGCAGGCAATCAATCAGGCATCCATCGGCCCCGCCGTTCGGTGGTTGGCCATGGCGCCGCTGTTCCCACGCGCTAAGCTAGCTTGAGCCGGGCCTCACCCTCACCCTCACCCTCACCCTCACCCTCACCTCACGGAACAAACGGACACGTTGCCCGGAGATTCTTCTGCGTCCGCGCCTAGAATCTCAACTGCTATATAAACACCACACCGTCGGATCAAGATACCGCGCGCTCGCTTAACTAACCCGCACTCCCTGGGTCGCGGTCGACTGGTCGTTGCCATTCCCCGGCTTTCTGGGAGGCCGCCAGCCGCTCTTGGGCGCCGCCGCCGCCGCTGCGGACGACGCCGACGACACCGAGACTTGGCCCCCGCGCCGGCCGGTGAGTTGCTGCTAACCCTTCCTCCCTTTCCCGTCCCGTCCCGTCTCTCTGCCTCGGCTCTTCTCCTCTGCCTCTGTCTCTGGTGAAGGCATCGGAGTGACAGAGATGCCGCCGACGATTGGAGAGTTTCTCCTCGTGATTTCTCGGCTGCTGCCAGTCGCTAGCTAACGCGCCTGCCTGTTTGGCTTGGCTGAGTCGACCGTCGACGGAATCTTTTTTTTCCTCGCGGGTTTCATCCGTCCATCCTCCAAGTCCAAGGGGAAGAAGATCTGCTCATCTACTGCTAATAGAAGACTAGTGTGTTCAGAGTTTAATAAAATGTTTTGTGGCGTGGAACACGACGCACGACGGCCGCCCGCGCTTGTTCTTGTTCTGGCACAGAGAAAAAGCGGTGGCCGCGTCGTATCGGATTCGCCCCGTGAATTATTGGTCCTTCCTTCCATCCAGTTCGGTGGTTGGTAGCAACAGTGACCAGTGAGTAGCAGCGACGGGTGGCTTGCACGTCTGAAACTTCTCCTATAAACTCCAGCCCAGCTCAAGACGCATCGCATGTGGGGATGTGCCTAGTTCGCCGCCCCTTTTCGCTGAGGCTTCTTTCGTGCTCTCGTGGGGTCAGGGATATCGGGTTCCATTTTGTTTTCTTTTCCCTCCATCGGGATAAGATTAGGAAATCCTACTCCTGTAGTCTGCGTCTTTGGACAGCCAATCTGTATGTAATCATCCTAGTACTAGATATGTTACCACACGTGATTCGGAAACACTTCCTTTTTTCTAACCTGTGGACTGTGAGCTCGTTAGCTGACAGACAGCAGAATCGAAGTGTCTTTGTTCAGTTCTTTCCATTCCTGATGTCTAAATCGAAATAACGTGTCTGGATCATTTTCTTTATAGGCACACAGCAGGTGAACATATACAGTTACCATGAGCATGGACGTAGCAGGTGCAGAGGCACCTGTCAAGGTATCTTCGCTTCTGTTCATCTGTTCTGCGAATTCAGATACAGGTCCATGTAGCATTGTATGAGCTGCAGATTGATTTGTACTCATGAGGTTGCTTCTGAAAATTGACAGGGGAAATTCCTTGGTATACTTGTCTGCTGGCTTTTGGGAAATGGAAGCCTTTTCGCGTGGAACAGTATGCTCACCATTGAAGATTACTACTCCCATCTCTTCCCGGTACATGATTGGAATGAGTTCAGTTTCAGTGTAGCAGAGTAGCAGGCTAGCAGCAAAGTTGAAAAACATGGGGGGTGGCATCCTTGATTTGTCTTTGTTTCGTCGAATAAACTGAATGGAACCAGGATTTGATTCTATTCAGATATTCAAACAGTTAATATTGCAATGTCTCACTAGCCAATGATATTGTTAATTGCATTTCTACTGATATGGTTTCTCAAACGTTCTAATTTCAGTCCATTTTTTAATGGTTACTGAGAAGATAAAGTTAGTCCCATATTCATTGCAGTATTTGTTGTATCCATACATTCAAATTTGTAACAAATATGTTATTGTTGCAGAATTACCACCCAACAAGAGTACTCACGCTATCTTACCAGCCTTTTGCCTTTGGAATAACCCTCATCATGACATACTATGAAGCAAAGATGAACACAAGATTGAGAAATCTTGCAGGGTTTTCCCTTTTCTTCCTCGGTTCCTTTGCATTGATAATTGTAAGCACATTGCCTTCACAACATTAAAGAAAAAAAAGGACAGTACAGATTAGTATACCACCATATGAGCTCATGCAATCACGTTTTGTTGCTCTAGCTGGATGTTGCAACTAAAGGACATGGTGGGCTTGGAGTTTTCATTGGTGTATGCATAATTAGCGCCATATTTGGGACAGCTGATGCTAATTGTCAAGGCGCATTGGTTGGCGACCTTTCTTTAATGTGCCCAGAGTTCATTCAGGTAACATCTCACATTGTCTTTTCTCAGTCATTTATGCTGCTGTTTTCAGTCATTCAGAGTTTTCATGACTTGTATTGCACTTTGGGTTTTCAGTCCTTCATGGCAGGCTTAGCTGCATCAGGGGTTCTCACGTCAGCTTTGAGATTAATTACCAAGGCAGCTTTTGAGAGCTCAAAAGATGGTCTTCGCATTGGAGCTAGTAAGTCAGAATTTTGTGAAACATTTTCAGATTTAGTTAAGTTATTTATTGGTTTAAGAAAACAATTCTTGACACTTTCAAAATAAAAGTATATGATTCTGAAGCAAACATGGGAATTTAACGGGATGCCAAAAGCGTGAGGTTATACTATGGGCGGTTTAGATCTGTGTGCATTTTAGGTATCTTTTCTTGAGAATTTATTTGCTATGTCAACTAGACCTATGGATTTGCATCTGTTTTGACCAAGGTCTTATACTTGCATTTCCTGGATTATTTTATCAGATAGGATTTAATGATCCAATGATCTCATCAACAAGATTGTTCATAACTCTCTTCTTCCCTTTGATGTGCCGTTGGGCCCTGTTCCAATCATGTCTAGAAATTTCACAGAAGATCATGATCTTTGTCTGTCAAATAACATGTCTTTCATTACTTGGTGCAGTACTGTTCTTTTCAATCACATGCCTGTTCGAGCTGGCGTGCCTCCTGCTATACACGTTCGTCTTCGCCAAACTACCCATCGTGAAGTACTACCGTGCAAAGGCAGCCGCTGAAGGTAGCAAGACTGTTGCCAGCGACCTTGCTGCTGCAGGGATCATCGCTGAACAACAGGGACAAGTATGCGTTCCCCCTGTGATAGATACCAAACAATTGTGCGTTTCGCTGCAACTTTATCATTCGAGATCCGAATGCTCATGATGTTCAGTGGGTGACTCGTGCAGATCGAGGAGGATCCACAGAAATACAAGCGTCTGACCACTAAAGAGCTGCTCATGCAGAACATCGACTACGCGATCGATATCTACCTGATATATGTCCTGACGCTGTCAATCTTCCCAGGATTTTTGTCTGAAGACACTGGAGAACACAACCTAGGATCATGGTGAAGTTTCTTGCTTTGATGCGCTCTACAAATCAGAATTCCAATCTGTTGATGTTCCTTTCGTGAACACTAAAAATGCTTGTGATTTCTGAGAAATCTTATATTTTCAGGTACGCACTTGTGCTGATTGCCATGTACAATGTGTGGGACCTGATCGGGAGGTACGTGCCGCTGATCCCGTGCTTGAAGCTAACCTCCCGGAAGGTCATGATGGCGGCTGTCTTGGCACGGTTCCTGTTCATCCCGGCGTTCTACTTCACAGCCAAATACGGCGACCAGGGGTACATGATCTTCCTAACCTCCTTCCTGGGGCTCACCAACGGGTACCTCACCGTGTGTGTGCTCATGGAGGCGCCCAACGGCTACAATGGCCCCGAGCAGAACGCGCTGGGCAACGTGCTCATCGTCTGCCTCCTCGGCGGCCTCTTCTCAGGCGTCGTGCTCGACTGGCTCTGGCTCATTGGCAAGGGCTGGTGAGTACGTCTTCTGCACGTGGGTCCTGTGCGGGATCGATTGGGTTTTAGATCACTGTTTCCCCCTCTTGTTTTTCCTTAAAAAAGGAAAAATTCTTCTGTGTTTAGGTAGCTATACTAGTCAGTGAGAGAACACGGATACTGTAATCTGACTACGTTTGAAATTCTCTTTCAGATGCAATCACTCCCTTTCTGTTCCAACTTTTGAATGTTGTATAGTATTCTGGAATGAAATATTATTGGAGTTCGTGCAGAGTTGAAGATTCCCACAGCTAATTTGATTTGGTTGAGCTGTGAGCTTGAGCACCGGGGTGTATTTTCTTAAAATATAATTTGGCTTTTGCAAAAATAATTACCCAAATCAAACTTTTGTAGGAATTTACTCGTGTCGCCAAATAAAATGGCAACATTCAAATCTCACAGTTTCAAACAACGAGGTTTAAATCTACACTTTTCCTATACTACAGTCGCCTGAAATGCAACTTTTGTTCAGGCGACGTGTGGATCGTCGATCGTGCTTGATGATTTGTGCGCCATGGAAGCTATCTATTGGGTTTTTTATCCAATCGGTTGCTATCCATTACCCGTTAATCCACCGTATTCGGACACTGTTCGTATTCCTTCAAGCGCGTCCAGGGAAGAGGATTGGGGGCTATTTCCTCGAGCTCATCGCGGCGCGGCGATTCCTCTGGCGGAGCCGCGGGTCCTTGTCGCTGACGTTGTCGGTGGTCTCCGAGGAGCTCCGGCGAGGCGGCTCCGTTGCTACTGCTGCAGCGGCACCACGGTGGCCACGCTGCTCCTGTTCCTGTTCACCAATGCCGTCTCCGTCGCTGCCATCTCCTCCGGCGCCGGGCCCTCCCTCCTCCGCCGCTATGGAAGCTACAGCAAGCCCACGACTACCATCGTCCGCCTCTGGGACGGCTGCGCGGCGCTCCACGCGGCTCAACGCCACGCAGGCCGCGCCGACCTCGCGGGCCTCCACGCCCGCGTCCGCACCGCCAACGAGCTCCTCCAGACGCTCCTCCGCGCCATGCAGGACAACGGCGGCCGGGACCTCTGGTGCGTGATTTGTCCCTATTCTTCCTCTTCGTTTCTGTGGTCCTCATGCGTTGCTTTATTTATCCAATCCCCTTTCCTGATGTGGTGTGGATTTGCTCGATTGCTCGATCCCCTTTCCTGATATGGTGCGTGATTCTTCCTCTGGGTGCTAGGAGCTTGTTTTGTTGTCCTGGGATGAGATTTGTGAGCAAGGAGAGGAGTTCGCCCTCTGCTGCAGAATCAATTTCCGAGTCAATTTTGGGTTGAGCAAATCTGGAGCCCAGGTTGTGGCAGTGCACGCATTGATTTGGGAAATGGAACAAGAGTGCATAGCATGGATTGGGCAAACCAGGAGGTCTCAGCGGTAAGCTTAAAGCAAGACTCAAGTGTAGCTCTGTTTCTGTTAGTGTTTGGTGCACAAAAGTATTTTCTGAAGGTAGAAGGACATGGGAGGGATCCACATTCTGTCAGTCCATGGATTTGTTGGAGGACATGGGAGCTTCGCTTCATTCAGTTACCCGAACAAGCTTCAATGCTTCATTCACCCATTACCTGTCACTCACCTCATTCTGTCATGGCTTGTCTTTTTCTCCAACACCAGTCATTGCCTGCTTGTCACTCTCCTCCTCTCACTGTTGGCATTCTAGGGGTACTATCCAATTTGATTTTGGACGCTACTGGTGCATTTCCTACTATCTGTTGCACTCTGCCTTCATATTGCAGCCACCAAATAGATAGTCGAGTCGAAATAATAAAGCGAAGCCATCAGTATAGAGTGAAAAATTATGTGCAACAAACTAACCATAGGCCAATAAACTTATTTCCTGGTAAGAGACTAAGATTAAAAATAATTGTAAGCAATAAAATGCTGAGTTCGTGCTCATACTGGACAATAGTTGTTTTGTTTGTTTGCTTGTTTTTCGGAAATTCCAATTATGATTTGCTGAGTGAACCGTTCATAGGTTCATAGCAGCTGCTAATCCACAGTTTGCCATTATCTAAATATATTTTTGTCATGTAGTCATTCAAAAGAAAATCAATTGGTTGAAAATGCAGCTCCTGCATATACTGTACAATAAATATGTGTGTAGTATCCATTTCTTGATTGCACATTTATAGGTAATAAATTGCACACTTAAATTACTGCAATTATGGTGTTTAGCATGTGTAATATCCAGTCTTTTAACTGTGTGTTCCATTCTTTTTTGTTCATTTCAGATTCAGATACTAGTTCTGATTTACAGTGAGTTGTTCGATAACTTGATCAGTTTTAATTTTTCTTTTTGTATGGTAGTGAGCTTCCATCAGAGTACGGTTCTCTGTTGAGCCTAAAAAAACCCTAGAATTTTGGTAGTACAGTGTCATGTCTAAATTTGGTCTCTTTGCCAACTAGTTTAATACATACAAGAATGAACCTAAACTTGCTATGCTACTAAAAAGAGCTGTGCGTGGGAGCCATGCAGCCCTCCAGATATTTCATTTATAATTTAAGATGTTCAACCTCCAGAACTAATATTTACATTCAAACTGCTTTAAAGAATCATGCTCCTGCTTGGTCTGTAACCGAATTGTCTTAATGCATTTGAGTTTGTCCAGGTATGTCAATGATGAAAGCCCCTTTGGCAAAGTACCTTCCGAGTTATGGCTGTGTGTTTATATGGTTGCAGATTGGTGCGAAGGCATTACTTGTGGCGGGCATTTGCTCATTACCTACCAGTGCTTTATGCTCTCACCCTACCTCAGGTGCAAAGGCGAAATTGCAACTAAATTTGTCTGTCACTGCTACTTTTGTTGACATTAGAACTAGAAGGCTAAATTGCTATTTGACTTGTCTATCTTACAAGTAACATGATCTTGTGGTCAATGGCTGTTTGTTAACAAATCAGTAACTATTTGTAGGTTAATGGATGATTACAGATTTAGTAAGAATATTTCACACTAATTGCTATCTTACTAATTTGCTAAATTGCAGACTTATTCACTGAAAATAGGCAATAATGTGCTATCTTACTAAATCTGGAATATTCTTATAAATAGCTACCATGTTCAATGGATGCCCCCAAGTATTTATGGAAAATCTAAAATAGGCAATAGTCATATTGGGGGTTTGAGATGTATAGGACAAGTGGCAACTAAAATTATCTTTTGTTTTCCTATATCAAGTTACCACATCTAACACTAGTCTGTAGTAATTCTGACTGAATGAATACTATTTTTGGTTTTTTGAACTTTCCGTTTCCTTGTTAAACAGTAATGTGTGCTTACTGATTTTTCAACTCAACTTTACTGATTTTTTACTCAACTATACCTTGTAATATTGTAAGAGCAGAAAAGAACTATTTCATCTTATATGAACAGTCCTTTCGCAGGTTGATGATGTATTGGAGTCGAAGTTGGATAGAAGATTTGAACTTGTCATGGATGAAAGGACTCTTGATGCAATTGGGCTCCATCCTGATGAACCTATGATGAAGAGGTAAATGCATGTTTCCTGTGTAGATCTGGATGTGTTATGAGACCACCATCTATGGTTTTCTTACACGTCGAACTATATAGACATGTTGCTATTTATCTAGGCAACAAGTGTAAAAATGATATGACACCGAAAACATAAAAATCCAAAACCCAAATTTAGATATACACTTGCAATTCTGAAAACCACTCCTAGTGTAGAGTTAAGTTCAGATTTAAGTTATCAAATAATCTTGAATGGTGAAGACCACATGTAAAATCTCAGGTCAATCACGTTTAGTTTGATTTTTGGAAATTTCTCACAGGGGCTGCTTGTTTGTTTATCATTCTGTGTGACTTCTGTCTTTCGGGCGTGCTCATGCTTGTTTTTTTTTTGCTTTTGAATAATTGTTCAGTGACAGTTTCCTCTTGTTTTGGGCATCCATTTGGTTTCTACAGCAGTTCAGTCGAACTGTTGTAGCTAGTTGACAGTTTTTAGAGTAAGTTATCAGCTTGTGACTTAGCTCTTGTTGCCTTGTTTTCCTAGTTCATGTAGCTATTCTATTTCTAAAACTCCTATAATCCAGAGCAGCAATAGCTCTGCTGCAATGTGTTTCAAAGTTTCAGTATAGAGCTTCAACATCATCTTATTTTTTCAGTTTTCGAGAGCTTGGCTTGACTGATTTGTATAGGGACGCAACCTTTTCGGTTTGGTCATCATTTGATCTTGTTAAGGTGCCAGCACAAACCACATTTTTGTCCTTGTCCTTTCATAGAAAAAAATTGTTTCTTGTGTTTTGTGCTAACACTCATTTTCATCTGTTTATTGTGATTTGTGCATGTCCACACCAAGTTTTTGTCCTTGTCCTTCCATAGAAAAAAATTGTCTCTTGTGATTTGTGCTAACTCACCTTTTCCTTTTGTTTATTGTGGTTTGTGCTTGCCAAGGCAAGTTTTTATCTCTGTCATTGTTTTGGAATCGGGAGTTGTGGTTTGTGGTGCGTGTGGATGCATGGGTGACGCGGTCTGTTGATGCCCACTTGATTGTACTGGGAGAATGGTTGGGTTATGTGTTCCGCCTATGATGATTGAGTGCCAAGTGAAAATGAGGGTCTCAGTCTGTCTAGAATTCATATTGCTTGTCTATAAGTCTGGATACCTTGAGATTGGTCTGGTTGATTTTCTTTATCGTGCTAAGGAAATAGTGAATTCTGATAAGGCCTGATGGTTATACAATTGCAGATTGCAGTTGATAAGTTAATTCATGGGTGACATATATGTCACCCCCTCTCTTTCATTGTTTCTCTGCATTGTATTCTGTTCTAGAAAGATTGTCAGAAAAAGGAAATTTTCTGCATTTTACTGTTGAACCCTTTCAAAATCCAAGTGACCACATGGGGGGTTTATGCAGAACTCTCCTTTGGGTTTGTTCCATTTTGTGCTTTTTCGTCATATCTACCAAGTGCTGACTAATAGGCGCATTCTACCATAGTCTCATAGCCATTGGCATGGTGCGGTTAACATAATAACAAATTGACAATGGCAGTGGCATTTTGTAGTTTGAACTCTGGTAGGCACCTTGTATTGGACCATCTTTGTACCTTGTTGAGTATAAGTATCACATACTGATGGAATCATGCTCGCTGCCTCCATGTATATACATCTTGTAGTTTAATTTTGAATAGTTGTAGTCTATAGTATCCTCTTCTTGGCTATATATGACCTTGGGAGCTTGTCTGGTCAGATAGTGAGTAAAACACAGATATGACCATGTATATTTGATTGTTCAATCAATCTACCACAGCCAACATGTGCATATAGCTGCAGGTCATATATAGCCCTGTGTGTCGGTAGCTGATGTGGTTCTCTGGAAGATGTAGACTTGTAGCTAGTTTTGGATAGCTCGGCTGTTGTAATAGAATAGTAGGAGCTCACATCTTTTAACTGTGTGTTGCATATACTGTACAATAAATATGTGTGTAGTATCCATTCCTTGATTGCACATTTATAAGTAGTAAATTGCACACTTAAATTACTGCAATTATGGTGTTTAACATGTGCAATATCCAGTCTTTATATATAACTTTCCCACTATTTTGTTTTCCTTTTTACATTTGATTAAGCAGGAAAAACATATGTTCAAAAAGCTTTCACTAGGAAAACTCTTTACTCTAATAGTCCAAGTGTAGCATTATTTAGATTGTTTGATGATGAATGATATTGCTCTAACCTGTTTTAGTGCTTGCAGCTGAATTATATGGATGAGTGCTTCAGTTCATGCTTCTTTACCTGATTTTTGAAGTCTAATATGCATTTAGGAAGCACGGTCTTCCAGTTTTGTCATTAGTTCTGTAGTGTGCAGAATAGAAATGTGTACCTATTGTTGATGTCTGTACTTTTAGTAGCCTCATCTTGTCTTCAGTAACTCATGTGTTGTTCTTGTTCTGGCCTTAATTGCAGGTCATCAATTACATGATAGAACATGTCACGGGTACAGCTCATTGTGTACAGGCTCATTTGGGATTGTCTTCTAGGTATGGTGCTTGGTCGTGGGGGATTAGGGGCTCTTCTTTGTAGGTGCCTAATATTGGTTGATACAACATGTACTTTCCTGGGGCCTAAATTGTTTTTTCTTCATTGTTTTTTCTTCATTGTTCACACTTATACCTTAGACCTTGTTTTTGTCATTGTGTGTAAGGTATCATAAGGAACCTTGGCATAGGAAATGGTGATCGAGCAGCATGCCAGGGCCATCTGGAGGTGTGCAAGTACTTGGTTGAGGAACTAGGGTGTCATCCAAATATGGCTGCTACTAGAGGCTCATGTTAAGGTTCTTTCTACCTCTTTTGTGCTTCTGGAAATTGTATTATCTCATTGTGTGAACCTTTGGAATCTGGCAGTATGAGATATGTAAATTGTTCTCTCATATGTGAGGTTGTCTTCCAGTTTGCCATTCTTTCATGAGCTGAATTCTGTATTTATATACATATACAATATAATAGCATTAACAGCATGTAGTTTTTGCACTATCTGAAACGTGCAATTATCATATTCCTGTTTTTGTAATTTTTGTAAATTAAATGTCCTTGAGCTTTAATTTATGGGATAATTACTGATCGTGTCTCTTCTATCCTGACCTTACACATTTATGTAATTTTGAATGTAACATAGGGACCAAGCATCTTTCATTGTTGTGAACAGAAAACTGGACTAGTACAGTGAGTTGTGGATGAGCTTTTTGTATGTTTAGGATCATCAGGATGCACGTGGACTGTGAAGTTGTCAAT